CCACTTCCAGTTTTCTAGTGGTTTACTGGAGATTAGAGTCTCATGGACTTTCCTGCCCAGGCTGGCTTTGAACCGTGATCCTCAGATCTCAGCCTCCTCAGTAGCTAGGATTACAGGTGTGAGCCACTGGCGCCCAGCTAGTGCTAGCCTTGAGTTGAAGAGCTGAGGACAGTGCCCAGGTCCAGAGTTCAAGCTCCACAACAGATGAAAACAAAACAAAAAACCCACCCCCCGGGGGCCCCAACATTTATTAAGTAGTAAATTTGGAAATAAGCATCAAACATTACAGAGTCTATTTTTTGCTTTTGGATTAGGAACTGAATGAGCAAAGAGAAAAATATTCTATTTTCTACAAGACTGGTTATGATTAATGATGATGATTCTTAGTAATACAAAAGGCAGAAAACAGCCAGCTTGGGAGAAAAACTCCTTTTTCTTCCTATTAAAAAGGCATTCCTAGGCTGGGAATGTAAGAGTGCTTGCCTAGCATGCATGAAGCCTTGGGTTTGATTCCTCAGTACCACATAAACAGAAAAAGCTGGTGATGCTGTGGCTCCAGTGGTAGAGTGCTAGCCTTGAGCAAAGGAAGCTCAGGGACAGTGCTCAGGCCCTGAGTTCAAGTCCCAGGATTGGCAAAAAAAAAAAAAAAAGGCATTCCTGCCAGGCTCTGGTGGTTTCATGCCTCTAATCCTAGTTACTTAAGAGGTTGAGAGCTGAGGGTTATGGTTCAAAGCCAGCCTGGGAAGGAAAGTCTCTGAGACTCTTATCTCCAATTAACCACCAGAAAATCTGAAGTGATGCTATGGCTCAAAGTGGCAGAGCACTAGCCTAGAGCAAAAAAGTTCAGGAACAGCACCCAGGCACTGAGTTCAAGTCCCACAACCACCACCACCACCACCTCTACCAACAACAAAAAGGCCTTTCTATTGTGAGAAAAGTATTTTCCTTGCTTGTTCATAGACCCACATGGATGTCTGAGTAAAGGTCAGGTAATATAATACAAAATATTCCTGTACTGAAATCAGGACAGTCAGATGCAAGCCTGGGCCTGAAAAGTAGGGAACTGAACTAGATTGCCTTTAAGATACCTTTTATATTCAAGATCCCGAGTAAGGGATCTATCCATTAATTTGTAGTCTATATCATGAAGAAGAAATAAAAATACTAGGGTCTAGTTGATCCACTTGGGGAACATTGGCCTCACTGAAATGGGAAGTGAGGTAAGGGTTTGGTGCCAAGAAATCAGTTTTCTGGAGTGCGACAGCACTACCAGGTCCAGTCCCTTGAGTCAGAAATGGTCACACAGGGCTGGGAAGGTGGCTCAGTGGTAGAGCGCTTGCCTTGCATGCCTGAGGCCCTGGGTTCGATCCCTCAGCACCACATAAGCAAAAAGAAAAAAGCCAGAAGTGGCACTGTGGTTCAAGTGGTGGAGTGCTAGCCTTGAGCTGAAGACCTGAGGGACAGCGCCCAGTCCCAGAGTTCAGGCCCCACGACTGGACCCCCCCCCCAAAAAAAAAGAAAAAAAAGAAAAGAAATGGTCATACAAGCTTTACCAGGCCAACTAAAATCTGTGGGGCTTTTGTTGGAATAATACAGACAGATACATATTTTTTTCTTTTAGGAGGGCATTTTGGCTACCACATGGCATATACTTAAAGACACAAGAAACATGAAGAGAGGTAGGTGGACAGACGGGGACAGTTCTAATTAAGTAATATTAGTAGCTAGATCTAGACATCTTTAAAGCTAGATTCATTTCTGAGCTTTCTAGATACACAAGATAACTTTTATGTCTATGCTAATTTTTCCCTTATCTGAAATTGAAAGATTTATCACAGATCTGTAATAGTTCATGTATGTACGTACGTATGTATCATCCATCCATCCATCCATCCATCCATCCATCCATCCATCCATCCACCCACCCACCCACCCATCCATCCATCTTTTTAGAAACAGTGTATTTGTATAGCCCGGCTTGGTCTAGAACTTGTTGTTCTTGAATTTGAGTCCCTGCCTTTGCCTCCTGAATGCTGGAATTACAGATGTGCACCACCGCACCCAGCAAAAAATGTTTTTTGATAGGACAAATGCTCAGTATTTAAAATTCTCTAGCTATTTTGTCCTTAAGAGGAAAAAAAAAATCCACATGTTCTTTACCTTGATTCCAAATTTTACTTACATTACTTTTACTTAAGTCCACACTAAGTCCATACTAAAGATTAGGTCAATTGCACCTGGATGCTGATACAACAGAGTAATGGCTGTTTGTTTAAAGTCTACCTTGCCAACATGCCATTGTTTTGTTGGGAGATATTTAAAATCCTAGAACTTAAGGTATGGGCACCAAGCTGCACCTAGGTTTTGCTGTTGACTTGAGCAAGCCAATTTGTTCAACTACAAACTGGAGATCTCTTATTTGGAAGGGATCATAATAACTGAGGATACGTTTCCCTGATTTATGACATGAAGTTGGGAGACTAGATCACAACAAAATAGAGTCAGTTATAATTTAATCTGACGTTTTATGACCATTTTAATAGGAATGTACAGTTAAATGAAATAGGAAAGGGGGCTCTGCAGTGTGCTTTTGATAGCTGATGTTTCACAGGGTTTAATTAAAATTTCTAATGGCTTGCATTTTTTTTTTAAGTAAAAGCTGTACGTGCTTCTAATTTACAGATATAACAAAACAAAGAAAAAGTAGACATAACATATTTAAGGTTAAAGATCAGCAAGGGATGGAGAAAAATAATGGATTCCTCTATTTTAAATTCGAGGAAGGAAAAAGCCTAAAGTTAAACTATAGAAAACATCCATTGGGCTGGGAAGGTGGCTCAGTGGTAGAGTGCTTGCCTCGCATGCGTGAGGCCCTGGATTTGATTCCTCAGCACCACATAAGCAGAAAAAGCCAGAAGTGGTGCTGTGGCTCAAGTGGAAGAATGCTAGTCTTGAGCTGGAGAGCTGAGGGACAATGCCTAGGTCCAGAGTTCAAGCCCCACGTCTAACAAAAACAAAAAGAAAAAACCCATCCATTTATATGGATGTCATATTTTTGATGTTACATTAGTTACTAAGCTTGGCCTTCTCCAACTGGCTTCGTTACTCTTAGTGAGAAATTTATACTGTCTCTTATTGTCTATGCAAGTCACATACTAGAAATGAAAGAAAAGGACTGTCACTAAGGGTAGTTAATCTAATAAAAAAGTGTTCTGGTAGAAATGCAACCTTTTAGAAAAAAATAGAAAAAGATCTGGAAAAATACTTCAGATTCACTCAAAATATGTCAAAATGACATTATAAAGGTCAGAAAGCAGATGGGATTAGCAGTGCTATTAACAAACATCACTTGATGGTTAGAAACTTCTTATCAAAAATGGACTGAGCTGGGTGCTTGTGGCTCACACCTGTAATCCTAGGTACTCAGGAGGCTGAGATCTGAGGACTGTGGTTGGAAGCTGTATCTCTAGTTAACCACCAGAAAACCAGAAGTGGCACTGTGGTTCATAGTGGTAGAGTGCTAGCTTTGAGCGAAAAAAATTCAGGGACAGTGTCTAGACCCTGAGTTCAAGCTCCATGACCAACAAAATAAATTAATTAAAAAATGTATTGAGAGCCATTCAAAAGGACAGTTCAGCCACTATCACATAAGCACCATTAGCTACATACCCTGAAGAATCAAAACAGAGACTTCTCTTTTTTGGAGACAAGGGTATGTATGTAGTGTAGGCTGGCCACAAATTCATGATCTTCATGCCTCAGTGTCCTAAGTGCTAGGATTGCAAGGATGTACTACCACACTTATCCCAAAGAGAAACATTCTAGTAATTCCTTCCCTTGGAGACAAAATGAATAAACCACATATCCTATGTTATGCCAAAGAAATCAGGATGTCTCTCTACAAGTGCTAATTTTTTCTGCATCTCATTCTGTGTATGTTTACTCCATAAAATGTCTTGTCTGCTTTCAGAGTTTCTGGAATGGCCTTTCCAAGATAGATCTAAATATAAAAATAACAAAGATAAACTTCATTTAAACCAGGAAATACAGCTAAGCTAATAAATTATTCTTTTTCAAATTTTAAGATCTAGCTGCAATGCTGTTTCTAAGGCTTTGATGCAGAAGGGAATGAAATCATGAAGCTGGGTTGTGAATATTGCAGCATGAGTACTGCCTTCTCTATTGAAAAGAAATACTTGGGAGCTTTTGGGACTTAATTTCTTAACACAAAGTGAAAGGTTAAGAAAGTGAAATATTTAACAAAGACGTCAGACTTAATGTCAAGGATAAATCAAAAGGAGGGTAATTTCTTTTCTTCATATGGAATTGTTATAAAGTAATGAAGCTGATGTTACACAGAAGGGCTGCTTGGAGACATTCTCTTGAGTGTTGACATAAACTCTTGTCATAACTGAATGTGAGCTTAATCAAACACACACACACACTTCTCAGTGATGACACGTTAACAAAGCAATATGGTTCATTTAAAGGATCAGTATAAATATATACATACCACAGGCTGTTTTGTGATGTCCACCAAATCCTTAAGATTATAATACTGATGTTTCTCGAAGGCTGAGAACAGCATGTCGAGAACATGCTGTTTGTCAGCCCGAGCTCGCTTTCCGTCTTCTTTTTTTTTCCTTTCATATTCAATCTATATGCAAAAAACAAAAGAAAAAAAAACCCTCAGTTGAACATGCTTACTCTGAAAACAGGCCCCTGTTTGAAGCTTAAAGGCAGCAGGGATAAGAACCTGTTGTTGTTCCCAGGATTCCCCATATATTCAAGGTCCTAAGACAGTAAAAATGCCAACCTGCAAGTCATTTTCAGTATTTCTGAAGCTATATGTGGCATATGCATTTCCCAAGTCAGCTTTCTTTCTGGTTAGCTTTGGTTGAGAAAGTAGGAACTCATAGTCCCTTTGTTTTCATTAACCAAAATCTAGTGAAATAATTTTTAATGTAGTAGATACAGCTTTGTTAAGTACGGGAGCTATAATCCTTAATTTGCTTAAAAATAACAAGACAAATAGTATTCATTTATTGTCATTAGGTTTAAAAAAAAAGGTTGAAGCCAGGCATTGGTGGCTCATGCCTGTAATCCTAGCTACTGAGGAGGCTGAGATCTGAGGACTGCAGTTCAAAGCCAGCCCAGGAGGGCAGGAAAGTCCGTGAGACTCTTATTTCCAATAAACTGCTAGAAAACCTGGAGTGGTGCTATGGCTCAAGTGGTAGAGCCCTAGCCTTGAGCTGAAGAGTTGAGGGACAGTGCCCAGGACCAGAGTTGAAGTCCCAGTATTGGGACTGACCAAAAAAAAAAAGGTTAGTTAAATCTTTTTCTTCTTTTGGGGAGGCAGTACTGTCTGGGATTTGAACTCAAGGCATTGTGTGATGCTTCTGACTCCTGATTAAATCTTTTATGATAATGTCTAAGGCTCTAGTCAAAATTCCCCTATGTAGTATAAGGTAAGTAGTACCAATGTATATATAATTATAAAAACAGACTTAAAAATGATTTCATGGTCAGGAAGTTCTTATTTTTCCATGTCTTTTAAATTATTATAAAGGTGATGTACAGAGGGGTTACAGTTGTGTAAGTCAGGTAATGAGTACAGTTCTTTTTTGGACAAGGTCACCCCTTCCTTCACTTTCCCCATTATTTTGTGAATTTTAATTACAGATCCTCTATCTGCTCTCAATGAACATGTGTAGCCAACTTCATAGAAACAGAAGTCAACTCAGAAAGTAATTTAAGTTTAGTTTCCAGTCACAAATTTTTACAATTAAAAAAAAAACCTTTCAATTATAATTCTATCACTTTGACTTTTACAATAGAAAACAAATTAATCAGGATAAAAAAGCAATCAAAAGCTGAAATTTCATTGTGGATGTGGTATAGAGATGAAACCGTAATCACTGACTAAAATTATAAATGCCACCCACTACTAATTAAAATATTATAATTCAGATGTCTGTAAATTTCTAGACTGTTGTTTGCAGAAATCCTCTGATTGCTTTGTCAAGGCAGTCTTTGCAAAGGCTTTTATTCTAACTTCTGAAGTGATCATGACAGCCTTGACTATCATGGTTTTGCATTTTAAATCCTTGTGAAAGATTACTTCCCTCCCTCTACCAGTTTCTATTTTTGCCTCGCATGTCATCATCTCTTGGGAGGAAATTAATACTTCAGAATTGGTCAGTTCTTGGAGTGCAAATGCAAAAGGACAAGTCTATACCATAATAGGCAAATATTGTGTATGTGTATAACAATTTTTTTTTAAAACTTTTACCAGGGGCTGGGAAAGTGGCTCAGTGGGAGAGTGCTTGCCTTGCATGCATGAGGCGGCCCTGGGTTTGATTCCTCAGTACCACACAAGCAGAGAAAACTGGAAGTGGTGCTGTGGTTCAAGTGGTAGAGCACTAGCCTTGAGCTGAAGAGCTCAGGGACAGTGCCCAGGCCCAGAGTTTAGACCCCCCACAACTGACCAAAAAAAAAAAAAAAAGGAAAAAAAAACACCCACAAAACACCAAAAAAACCTTTACCAACCCTATTTCTGAAGCCTCAGACAGTTCATTGCACCCAGAAGGAAAACTGAGTATACATTAAAACTAGTTTTCCAGCTGTGTTCATGCCTGCAATCCTAGCACATCTCAGGAGGCTGAGGTCTGAGAATCCTGGTTCAAAGCCAGCCAGGGCAAGAAAATTGGTAAGACTCTTATCTCCAACTAACCAACAAAAGACTGGAAGTGGAGCTGTGGTTCAGTGTAGAGCACTAATCTTGAACTAAAGAGAGTACATAGGCGCCATTCTGGCACAAAACAAAACAACAAAACCCCCAAAATTAAAACAAGCAAAAGCCCCCCAAAATCTCCTAATTCCTAGAGGTTTAACTCAAGATTCTATGTAACACTTCAATCAGTTTTGATTAAGCTTTTCTAGTTTTTTCCTAATGGGCGTACATTAGTTGTAGAAGGAGGATTTCACTGTGACATTTCCACACATGTACAATAAAGCACCCCAATCAGTCTCAGCCCTCTATCACCTTCTTTCACCTCAATCCCTATTTCTTAAAACAATTTCCATAGCTCTCATTGTTCTATTTTCATACATGCAAATAAGCTACTTCTACCATAGCTTTTCTAGTTCTTTGTCACATTCTGACCAATAGCTAGAGAAAAAAAAATCATTTTTTCAAACTTAGAGGCAGGGAGTAGGAATGATATTAAAGACAGAAGGTATTAATTCCTCTTCTCAGCCACCATTACAGAAGTCCATCCTTCCTTCAATGGATGGTATACAAAACTATAATAACTTTCTATCTCTTGGGATCGGTGGCTATACAATAGAAATACCCAGGAGGCACAATAACCCTTAAGATTACATTAGATAACACATTAGATTACACATTAGATAAACTGAATCAATCTTTGGAAGTATTTTTTTTCTAAAAAGCTTCTAAGGTGATTACAGTATACAGCTCATGTTGCAAAGACTATCGACAACAGGAGACACGATTCCTTATAAGAAAGACAATTAGAGATCATAACATACCAGAATACTGTGACATTTACACAAGCCCAATCACCAGACTACACACAGAAGCACCTTAATTGGATTGAGAAACCAAAGAAGAGATCTTTTAGCTAATTTCTTTTTTTTTTCTTGTCTTTTCTTCCTTCCTTCCTTTATTTTTTATTTTTGCAGTACTGAGGTTTGAACTCAGGGATTTTCACTCACTAGGCAGGTGTTCTTGAGCCTCACGTCCAGCTCTGCCTTATGTTGGTTATTTTGGAGATGGAGTCTAGCAAACTAGCGTGTCTCTAATTGTAATCCTCAGGATCTCAGCCTCCTGAGTAGCTAGGATTATAGGCATAAGCCATCAGTGCCTGGCCATTACAATTTTGTTTTGTTTTGGTTAACTCCTTTCTCAGGGAAAAAAAAAACCCTGCTAAATATATCTATATATCTTTGTAAATTTAAAAACACACACATGTATTAATATTTGTATCTTATAAAAATGAAATAAAAATAAAAAGTTATCTAAAGTTTTTTTTTTTTGGGGGGGGTCCGGTCATGGGGCCTGAACTCTGGGCCCGGGCACTGTCCCTCAGCTTTTCAGCTCAAGGCTGGTGCTCTACCACTTGAGCCACAGCACCACTTCCGGCTTTTATCTTTTTGCTTATGTGGTGCTGAGGAATCGAACCCAGGGCCTCATGCATGCAAGGCAAGCGCTCTCCCACTGAGCCACCTTTCCAGACCTAAAGGTAAGTTTTAATGAATAAAAATCACCTAATTGCTTGCTGTCAAATAGTGGTCTGTCTTCACATTTTGGATGCTTATTTTTCAAAAGTATTACAAACTCTGAAAGGTTTGAACCAGCAACAGCGAATATAACTTAAGACACAATGCCCACAAAAGGGCATGGTGTATTGTTACTTGCAGCAAGCTCTTGGCTCGAGGTGGAGGTACCAATGGTGGTAACAGTCATAGCAAGGCTCCATAGGCTACATTTTTTTTTTTTTTTCAGTCCGGTCGTGGGGCCTGAACTCTGGGCCTGGGCGCTGTCCCTCAGCTCTTCAGCTCAAGGCTAGCGCTCTACCACTTGAGCCACAGCGCCACTTCCGGTTTTCTGGTGGTTTATTGGAGATAGGAGTCTCACGGTCTCTCCTTCCCCGGGCTGGCTTTGAACCGCGATCCTCAGATCTCAGCCTCCTGAGTAGCTAGGATTACAGGCGTGAGCCACCAGCGCCCGGCAAGCTGTGCTACTTCTTAAGTGCCAGTTTTAATTTAGCACCTAAGTGAGACTGGTCTCACAATTTTCTGCAGCAGTATAGCAAGTGATCTTTGCAGTGTAATGAAAGAAGATTATAGTATAGAGATGTGGACTGACTACTTCAAAGAAAATATACATTATACTCCAACAGCAGCTCTTAAAGAGTACAAGCAGTGAAATGGAGGAGATGGTAGTTCCTTGAAGACTGGTTTTATAGATTTGGTTCAGCAGGGGTCTATCTCTCAGGCACTAAGTAAGCACTTGCAATTGAGAGAGGAAGCTGGGATGGCCAGCCATGAACATGCTTCCTCAGTTTTCTTCCCTCCCACCCAAGGGAGAACTCTACTATTCTCTATAACCATTCAGATAACTCATGCTCACAGAGACAATTACAATGCAAGCATTTCAAAAAGAAGAAAATCAAGATAAATCACTCTAAATCTCACCAGCCTACCATCTTACTGTCCAAATCTAAGGCTCTAAAATATGTAACAAAGCCCTAATCTGGGGCATTTGCTACTTATCCTTTTCTATCTCAAACAACAGAAACATTCTGCTGCCTATACATTGTCAGGCACTTATCTCAGGTTATATCTCATAGTGATTTTGATGCAAAAAGTCAAAATTCCCTCCAGAAGGTTCTATCTTTTTATTTCCTATGGGAACTGAGAATTGAAGTGTTTTATTTCTTTGTAACAACTTATCAGGAGTAGCTTGGACAGGGGGTCTCTCTGTGTCTAGCTTTTGATATGGAGCTAGCATCTTTTCTAGGCTTGGTTGATTGTCACCTTACACCTAAGGGCAAGGTGTGTTACTGAGGTTCTTACAAAGCCTAAGAGTCCATAACACAGAAAAACATAAAGGACAGAACACTGAATAAAGAGAGACATGCAGAATACTTACATTGTATTGATGATTAGCAACAGGCTTGTAGTTTGTTGTTACAACTTTGTCTAGTTGTTGTGATAGCCTTACGGGTTTGGAAGATTCTTCTATTTGCAATCTGAAAAACAGAATTCTTATTAATCCACTTGTTTAGTAGATTAAAACCTATAGAATTATTCCTACAATTCTTCTTACTCAATAATTTCTAACTAAAACAGGTAATGTAAAAATTAGTCCTGTAGGCTAAACACACAAACTATCTCACTGTACTCTTTGTAAGTTATTTAAAAACTATTTTAAAGCTAGGTATCGGTGGCTTATGCTGGTAATCCTAGCTACTCAGGAGGCTGAGATCTGAGGTTTGAGTTTTGAAGCCAGAATAGGCAGGAAACTCATGAGACTCTATCTCCAATAAACTACTCAAAAAAGTTGGAAGTGGCAATGTGGCTCAAGTTGTAGAGTGCTTGCCTTGAGCAAAAGGCTGGCCCAGGCCCAGAGTTCAAGTCCTAGGACTGGCAAACCAAAAAAAAAATAAAAAACAAGCAAACAAACACCCAAACCCAGAGTTCAAGTCCTAGGACTGGCAAAAAATAAAAAAATTAAAAACAAGCAAAAAACATGCAAACCAAACAGCCCCCCCCCGTTTGTACAAAGGGGTTTGAAATCACTATTTCCATCAATTTATATGTATAACGCATCTTGATTATTGTCACCCTTTCTATTTCATTATATTCTATAAACTGCTTCTAATTCTATCATGTATAGGGGTAAACTTTTAACTATTAGAACCAAGAAGCTGTTTAAATTTCTAGAAGAAACCCTACTGATAAAATAAATTATTTTAAATTATGTAGTCTAAAAATTAATCAAATGATTAATTCAAAGCTTTTAATCACCCAGCAAAAAATAAGATATATAAAAAGAATGCATCAACATTTAAGGTCTAGTGACGAATAGCTACCGTATTAGATGGGCAGATACAGAATGTTCTACTACCACAGAAACTATCCTGAAAAGCAATGGTTTAGAAACATTTCAGGATTCCATGTAAATTAAAGTAACTCAAAATACTGTCTTTGGAGAGAGTCATAAAACATACACTCTGTATAGCATGTTAGAAAACATCGTTCTTTATCTTTAAGTAGCAGTCTTAAGATTTGAAATTTTGTCCTAAATTTGGCATGACTAACTCAGAGCCTCACACTTGCTGGACAGGCAAAGCTCTACCACTTGAGCTATGCCTCCAGTCCCAAAGTGCAGCTTTCTAAGGTGTTAAGGGAACAAAAGGAATCATTGCACTTTTAGACTTCTCATCAGCAGGATATGAGAATGCAAAATGTAATGTATTTAAGAAAATTGCCTGCCAATCCAGATAACTTATAATTGCAAAAATATTTTTGGAAAAAAATCTCTTAAGCTTATCATTCACAGTTCCTCACTGAGAGAAGTATTCAAGGACTTATTCAATAAAAAGGAAAATCAACCCCAAAGAACTAATGAGGTGCAATGGGCACAGCAAGGAGATATAGCCATATGAGAAAATTACCTACTACATAAAAAACAAAAAAGGCAGTGTTTATTTAAAACGCAGAATATGAAAGATAGGAAAGAAAAGATCAGAATGAGTGCATTTTAAGAGATTTCGGAATGGTTTTCTAAACTTTCTGTAATAAGTATCTATTACTTTGATAATCAAAAAAGAAAGTATCCTTTTTAAAAAGAAATAGCATCTTTTTTGGTCATGGGGCTTGAACTCTGGGTCTGAATGCTGTTCCTGAGCTCTTCAGCTCAAAGCCTAGCATTCTACCACTTGAGCCACAGCGCCACTCCTGGTTTTCTGGTGATTTATTGGAGAGATGAGTCTCAGGGACTTTCTTGTTCCGGCTGGCTTTGAACTGTGGTCTTTGGATCTCAACCTCCTGAGTAGCTAGGATCACCAGGTGTGAGCAGCCATCATTTCTTAGATGGTTTTATGAACTAACATTCTAAGTAACTAACAGAAGTTTTGAGGTTTGGGTAGGCAGTACTGAGATGGTGGATGGCATGTTTATAGGAAGCCATGATTAACCCAACATGTGCCTTTGAGGATAAGCTGGAGGAGGACTGCTCAGGCATCTAATAATCAGGCATGAAGATAAGGTAGAGGAGGACCCTTTAAACAGAGATATCATATATATATATATATATATATATATATATATATACACACACACACCACATTTAAAAAAGAATTATTGTAAAGATGCTGTACAGAGGGGTTATAGTTATATGAGTAAGGCAACGAGTACATTACTTGTTGATCCTTATTACCCCTTTCCTTGTTGTTCCACTATCCCCGCCTCCCCCAACAAAGCTGTAAAGTTCGTTTCCAATATACTATCTTGTGGGGCTGGGAAGGTGGCTCAGTGGTAGAGCTCTTGCCTTGCATGTATGAGGCCCTGGGTTCCATTTCTCAGCACCACATAAGAAAAAAGAAAAAAAAAGCCAGAAGTGGTGCTGTGGCTCAAGTGGTAGAGCGCTAGCCTTGAGCTGAAGAGCTGAGGGACAGCGTCCAGGCCTAGAATTCAGGCCCCACAACCGGACTCCCCCCCCCCCAAATACTGTCTTGTGGGTATCATTGTTGCAATGGGTCATCCTGTGTCCTTGTTTCAGAATTTTGTTATTCCCCTTTCCCTCTCCAGATTAGACAAGATGCAGGGTACCAAAATCAAGTACAGAGACAACAGGGGATATGTCATAGGAGGAAGAACATACAAAGGAAAAAAAATCACATAGTACATTTAAAACAATAACAACCAACACAGACCTCTTGTGTCCATATCTTGGGATTTATTTCACTTAGTATCATCTTATATGGACATAGGTACATACTTTTGAACTTTTCAGGCAAATCAAAACAACATTGAGATTCCACCTCACCCCAGTTAGAATGGCTCTAATCAAGACATCTAATAACAACAGATGCTGGAGGGGATGTGGCCAAAAGGGAACCCTACTGCATTGTTGGTGGAGGTATAAATTTGTTCGACCACTTTGGAAAGCAGAATGGAGGTTCCTCAAAAGACTTGGCATAGGCTGGGCGCTGGTGGCTCATGCCTATAATCCTAGCTACTCAGGAGGCTGAGATCTGAGGATCGCGGTTCAAAGCCAGCCCGGGCAAGAAAGTCCGAGAAACTCTTATCTCCAATAAACCACCAGAAAACCGGAAGTGGTGCTGTAGCTCAAGTGGTAGAGTGCTAGCCTTGAGCTGAAGAGCTAAGGAACAGCGCTCAGGCCCAGAGTTCAAGCCCCACGACGGACAAAAAAAAAAAAAGAAAGAAAAAAAAAAGAAAAAAAGACTACACATAGACCTCCCCTATGACACAGCAATCCTACTTTTGGGCATTTACCCAAATGAAAACAAACAAGGCCATACTGAAGCTACCAGCACAACTAAGTTTATCATAGCATTATTCACCATAGCTAAAATATGGAACCAACCCAGATGCCCCTCAGTAGATGAATGGATCAAGAAAATGTGGTATATATATAATGGAATTCTATGCTTCCATCAGAGAGAATGACACCACCCCATTTGTTAGGAAATAGAGACTTGGAAAAAATCATATTAAGTGCAGTAAGCCAGTCCAAAAGAAATTTAGGTCCCATGGTTTCCCTTATTTGCAATAATTAGTATAGATATAGGATAATCTTATCAGATTACCTAAATGGAGATATCTTAAAGCTACTAAGAGATAAATCTTTAAAAGAGAAGAATGATTGAAGACAGCTTGTTAGAACTGGGTATTGGTAACTCCAGCCTATATCTGAACACAACTCTTTGTGTTCTAATTTAGCCCTATGCTCTAAGGCAATAGGTGTGCAAGGTCTGGCCTTCCTGAGCTGTGATCTGCCCTGCTGCCACCATATTATTTTCCCTGTTTCAATTTTCAATCCAATCACTCCATGATCTGATTTTATGAACCATTCAAGGAAGGAGGCATGTGCCAACTCCTTCCTTCCATATTAAGGAACTGTTCCCATTCCTCCCATCTGAAAACTTCTCAGGGTTTCAGTTCATTTAGGTAAGAGCTTCTTTACAAAGGGTAGTTTATTTTGGTTACACACTTACACTTGAATTTATTTGTAGTCAATATATCCTGGTTCAGATTCACCAGGCAGACTTTTAAATCAGTTCAGATTCCCGAGGAAGACTTTTAATTCACATCTGACAACTTTAAAAGCCAATTGTACTATCTAGAATCAGACCACACTTATCCTCAAAGGAAAATACTGTTCTTTTTTTTTTAAATATGGAGTTCATATTAAAATTTAACCTTCCTATTATATATTTAAAAAGCCAACTTCAAAGGTTTTGTTTTAATTAAAAGAGGATATCCTATGATTCAAAATTCAAAAGGTTAATCTATGGATTGAAAATACAGCATATTTTTAAAGAACAAAAATATCGAAATACTTTAATTAACCTTGAATAGTTTAAAATAACTTAGCAGGGCTCTTATATTTAACACTAAATAATTCATTTAGCATTATCTCATAAAGTGTTAGAACAATTTGCAACTCTATTTAATCAATGAACAATGTATAAGTTAAACACTGCTGACTTGAAAATGCTTTCAAAGTAAAAAAAAAGTATACCTAGATTTGTCAAAATAATAAAATTTGGAGATACTGTTTTTACAAAAAGGAATAGCAAACTAAATGAGGAGATTTAAGACTGAACTGGGAGAACACCTCACTATAATGACTATTTTAAAATTTTTTTTGTTTTTTAACTTAAGAACTGTTACTTTCAAGAAATGGTAATAGATAAACAATATTCTATGATTAGTTTTTTATAAATAATTAATTTAAAATATACACCCACATTTTTAGAAGATAAGGACAGACCAAATCTTCTTACATTTCTCATGGTTCTAAAGTGATTGAGAGGGGCTGGAGGTGAAGCTAAGTTGGTAGAGGGTCAGCCAATGAACAAAGGGTTAGGTATGTAGTCTGAGTCCTGGTCTCACATCAACATCAACAACAATAGAAAAAGACAAAAAAAAACCAGGACAAAACAGAAATTAAAAAAATATAAAATGACTGAGAATAAAATTCATAAAATAATTACTGTGG